TTTTTTTTTTTTTTTTTTTTTTTTTTTCAAATAAAGATGCTGATGTGCAGCCATGCTGGATCAGACATGTGACCCAAGCGTGGGCGGGGCGGTACTCGGAGTTACTCACCAGGCATTAACGGGGGTGTTGGTCAATGGATCAAGTCCACTTCTGAAAGAAAATAAAACCTGTGAATAAGCTACAAGCTGTGTGTGTCTCCGAGATGCAAAGCCCTGTGAGTTGTACAGCAGAGGGGGTGTTCTCTGGGGCAACAGCCCCATTCGCATTACCAAGGAGCGGGCCAGTGAGCGTCTCGACTCCAGGCTGTTCGTTCGCTCCCGTCAGCATGGACGGGCGGTTTGGCTGGGACTGTGAGGGGGCTGGTCTGGTCCTAGCTTGGCAGAGCTCAGTTCAGCAGTGGTCTGGTGTTTAGAAGTACATGCAGTACAGCATGACAAGCAGGCTGCCTTCCACTATTAGTACTAACTTTAGGTCTCTTAAAGCTTTTGATTGACCCAGGAGTGCTAATGTGTGTGAATATGGCGCCGATAGTGTGCAAATCCAGCCTCGGGCTGTGGCGTGTAAACTGTAGTTCGGGACTCCGATTCTAGTCACCTGTGGAGAAGGAAACCAATGCACCTCAGCAGCCGTCCAGAGATTGGTTGGGTCTCTGTGATCCCGGGGCAAAGATTCGGGAGCTCACCGGGAGTGACACCAGTAGGATAATTTATAATAAACGTCACGCCCCAGATTTTTTCTTCTGTTACAACTGTAATTTTGCAGCCTTAAATCTTATAAGGACATGACTGCAAAACTCTCCATTGGTGTGGAGTTACACCCAGCATCTGGTGCTGGCCCCGTCTGAGACAGGGCCCTTTGTCTGAGAGCGTGGCAGGTCCTGAAATCAGATCGATCTGTTTGTAACCAACCATTACATACTGGGGGTGGCTGAAACTTTGGCCTAGCGGCATGCATTCTTCCTGGGGGCCAGGAGGCTGTCTGGGCATGCTCAGTTCCATGCTCTTGCTGTAGTGTAGAATCAGACCAGCTTAGTCTTTCTGCGCTGTGAAGATCACTTCCTCGGACGCTGCAGGCGCCTCTCTGGGGATAGGGCAGATCTGCCCAAAGGTTTGGGCTGAGCCTGTTCTTAAGGGAGTTGAAATTCATTTTGGAATAGTATGGCTAGCAAAGAATGCTGGGAAACAGAATGACTGGAGCAGGGTGCGCTCTCCATGGCAGGGAGACGTGTGTATTCAGTTAACTTGTCCAGCCAGCGCGGTTAGGAAGGAAGTGCTGGGAGTTTTGACAGTGCATTTCCCTGTCTAGTTTCTGCCCAGGTCTGTGACTTAAATGTCATTGGTGCCATTGCATTGACTGTCGTTCAGTGGGTCTGTGTAATACTGGTTTAAACCACCTCCTTGTACTGACTTGAGCCCTGATGTTCCCTACCTTAGATGCCAAGCCTCAGACTTATGCTGCACACAGCCCCTTTCTTCCCAGCCAAGGAGAACTGGCCACTTGTCAGTGGGCCAGTTCCCATCCTAACTGACCTCTGGGATCCCCATTGCTGGATCCTCCTTTCTGTAGGGACTGGACATCCTACTCCACAGCACAAAACAAAGTTCCTGGCTGGTATCCACCAGCCCCTCTGTTGCTGAGCTCTGGGGAAGAGCCCTGTGGGAGGCAGGGCAAAATCCATCTAGGACCATTTCATTTCCCGTCTGCTAAGAGACATCCTGTAGCCTCCCTAGCTAGAAAGCCAAAACGGGTAAATCACGTACAGTCCTGCTGAGCAAGCTGGAACCCAGCACCCCCTTTTCTAGGGAGCTTCTCTCCTCCAGTGCCCTGGGAGGGGCAGTCCTGCTTAGGAACACAACCCAGCAATAGATACCTTGTCCACTCGCAACCTGGTGTGAAATGTGAAGGGGCAGGATTCATCAGGTGCTGCGATTCGCTCATCCCATGGGTGCTTGGGTGACGCTGCACTTTCACATTCAGGGTGTTTCAAGCCAGAAGAGGCCACTAGAACCTCTAGTCTGACCTATGTAACGCAGGCCATTAAACTTGTCCAAGCATGAGGTGTTGGGTGGCTGGTGGCCATGTGTTGACCTCTTGGAAGGGGACCTTTCCTCCATCTATCTCGCTGTTCTTGCTTTAGCCGTTTTGCTTTCTGGCTCTGTGCCTGGTTCCTGTCCCTTCCCATCACAGTTCAAATCGGTCTCATCACTGGATTGCTTTTTTGTTCTCTATTTGCTCTTTTATCCTGTGACCTTTGTTATTTGCCACCTGACCTATCTCGAGTCCTTCCATCTGCAGCAGTGCAGGAAGCTATCCTGTAACCCCACCCAAGGGAAGGAGCATTGCAGCTTGCTGACCTTCCAGCTCTTGGTCTCCCTATATGGACACATTCTGCTACTAAAGTCCCTGGCTTATGGTGGTCTAATCTCTAGCACACTGGCTGAAGGCCATCCCTTGTGGAGGGATCGCCTCGTTTTCTTAGGTGGGATCTCCATCTCCAAACCCTTATTTATCACCCTTCGCCCTTTGCTCTAGCACGCACGGTTAAACCTTTCTCCAGAAGAGCTGAGTGGCTCTGCTTGCCGCTGGTTTTGCTCACTGACTCCTTTTTCCTTCGTTACAAAGCAGCTGCCACCTCCCAGCATGCTAGAACGCCACCTACTTTGCACCTCACTTTGATAGTCTGGGACCAATTGGCAGGCACCTAGCACTGGTGCATTCCCGCTTAGGGATGGGGTGCTGTGTTGGGTGAAAGTACGACTTCGCACTGATGCCTGGGGACTCTCAGGGGGTGCATAGCAGCTAGCTAATCTCCTGGCGTTTGGGAGCTGGCTTGTGCAGACCCTCCTTTCAGCATTGCTCTGGCTGCGTGATACTCACCATCTGGCACCGCACCGTCGCTGCGAGCAGGTCCCCGGCCATGCCAAATGGTCCTGGGGGTGATATTTTAAACATCTCAGTAGCCGCTTCGCTCCAAGCTTGAAGCTTAGTTTGTAAGTGGGTTACCCATCAACGTAACTGAATGCAATTGCCTACTACAAACCCAGGGACTGATGGAAACTGCCCCCAAATCACTGCCTTTGAATGTAAGATGAGATCGGACAGGGAAACTCCACAGTACGGCGCTGTTAACCTTGCTTGTTTTGCTTCGCTTCGTTGGGATGGGTTGGAGAAGGAGGTTTTGTCTGTCTAGCCTTAAAACCCAGCCATCTGCCAGCAGGCTGTTTTGTCCTGGGTTTGAGTCTGTACTGCTGTGGGTGAACCGTAAAGAGGGCAGCGGAAATATAATCCAGAGGGCTTTCCTTCTCCAATGAGACGTCACAGACGTCGGATCTCATCTGTTCCCATCTCTCTTCCAGCAGCGTTAAGCTGCAGAGCTTACGTTCCTTTCAAGTATGTAAACTTTAATAAACCTACCTAACTTTTCTACTTTTACTGTACTATAGCGAATGGGGTCCAGTTTGCCACTGGCTTTCAAGGCATGGGGAGTGGGGAGGGTGTCTCTGAGTCTTGTCTTAATGTCAATTGTGTCGAACAGAAAATGAGTTTTGGCAGGAGGAATATTTTACTTATGGCTTGAGGGTGGATGTGCTTGATCTCTGTTCAAAGTGGTGGCGCAGCACTGTGAAACGCAAGCCTCGCGCTGGGACCAGGAATGGCAATGAGTTAGCCAGTGTGATGAGGAAGCATCAGAACCCAGAAACCTTGTTAACTTTCTCTCGCCCAGTCTCACCCCAACCTGCCCACTGACACATTGCCTTAACGTCTGTTCCTAGCATGGAGTTTGTTCCTGTCTTTGTATTGTTTGCTGTCTTGTTATAACAAGCAGAATCCTCTAGGGGGAGCAACAATTACACACTTGCTAGGGGAAGCCTGTCTAGTGTACATCTTAAGTGCTGCATTTGTCATTACACTTGAGATGCCGTTGGAAAAAGCCGAAGCCATGCGCCTCTTACAATGAAATGTGTAAATGTCTCTGGAATGTCTGCGGTCATGCAAGAAATATTCATGTGCTAATGTAGAAGTCTTGTTTGCCATAGGTTCAATTGCACTTTTGAGGCAGCAGGGATTAGTGGTTAGAGCAGGGACCTGCATGCCAAGACGCTCGAATCTGTCTCTACTACTCCACTCACTAGCTGGGTGACCTGGGGCAAGTCGCTTCATCTTTGTGCCTCAGTTTCCCTACCTGAGCAATACCCACTTGAGGGATTATTTGGGGGGGATGCCCACCTCTGTAAAGTGCTAGGGGGATCCTCGTATGAAAGGTGCTATAGAAATGGGAAATGTCACCTTTCAAAATCAGCTGTGTGTCAGCAAGCACAGTTCATTTTTCAGCTGTATAATCGTTCAGATCTCTTTACCTAAGCAATGTGGTGATGTTTGTAAATCATTCACTCTGTGCTCAAAATAGCTGTTCGTTTCCAGCTGGCTAATCTGGACTTGCTAAACGAGGGAACTGTGCTGGAGCAAGGCCGTCTTTCAATGCGTGCTGGTGTGCAGTAGACTATGTCGATATTTCCAGGTAAAATACACAGCGATACTATTGAGTACATGAATGTCAGTGGCATGTGGCTCTCAGACATGCAGCGCACCGCACTGCAGCCGGCAATAGAAAAGGGGTTTTTCATATGGGATAGCTTCATGGATGACTTTGGGTTTATGAGGCACCTTTCATACTACAGGTGTCCTAAAGCTCTTCCCACTGAAGTGAGTGAAACATTGGCAGGTGCTGCAGCTGGTCTGCCCTCAGCAGTTGCCCAAATGTTGAGGGAGAATGCTGGCCAGGATTTTGGAGTTGTGGAAAAACTCTTCAAAGCAGATGGGCCCTTGATGGAATGTCTCAGCCAAAGGTTGCTAACTGAGCACATCAAGTCACCGTGTGTTGTTCGGCTGAAATAGCAGCTGCCGCTTGGGAAAATCTCCAGGGTGGGTGACTGAGGAACTCCCTGTGCAAGCACAGCGTGTCTCCGCTAGGACTCGGTGGATCAGTACAACGCTCAGGAGCCCAGCCCTTAAAAGGCCTGTGTTTAAGTTCACTCATTCCCATTCTGGGTCCATCTTAACCTTTAAACACTGATCCGTACCGAGTCTGTTTGTTGTGAGTGTCTTCGCTTCTCACCCAAAATCCAGGCAGGGGAGGGAGCGGGTTGGCGTTCTTCAACCACGCTGAGACCTAGGAGGTGGCTGCCTTCTAGTCCAGAAGCCATCCTCTCCCAGGATTGCTTCGTGTCCGACTGGCGCTTGAGAGAACTTTCAGCAGTGCCATTGACTTTTGATGGGACTCAGGCGCTCTTGAAAACTTTGTTCCACGTTCCTAGTTTGAAGAGTGCAATTTCGGGGCTTAACCAAGGTACTTCCCTGCACCCTGTTATCCGAGTTTTAGGCTCACACTCTAGTAATACAGAATTTTTTCGCCTCAGTCTAAATAGTAACAGAAAATATTGCAAAGCATGTTTGCTCCTGAGTGGCTAGCTGTCCCTCCCCCACCCCCTCACCCCAAGGAACCTGCAGTCATCCCTACAACACATGAGCAAAGGGCAAACGCTTAGCAGAGACCAGCTGCTCGGAGAAGTTTCCTGAGTTGTGTGTTAGCCATGTGGGGCCGCCTGGGAGTCATGAACAAAACCATATCCTCAGTGAGCCAGGGGGCCTTTCTTCCTAGCCGGTCGCTGCTCTTTAACCCCAGGGACCGCTAACTGGATTTCCTGAAGATGATGGGACCTCCTTGCAATATATGCTCTCTCCAGGAAGAAAGGAGTTGATATACAACCTGGGAAGGGTCTGGGTTTCCTGTTTATGCCAGTGCAGTATCCGGATCACTGCCCCTGGCCTGTACTGTTGGGTCCCGTGTATAAAGAGCTCGTGCTGCTTTGTGGGCAAGTCTGTGCCACTTCTTAGCTCCTTCCAAAGGGGACTTTGCCCGGAAGAGGGGTAGGGGGTGGCATCCTGAGCAGGTTGCTGGCAAAGACCCCTTTGTTGTATAAATAATGAGTGGCAGCATTTATTGGCCCAAGCTTTGCCCTGGAGATGGGGAAGGGGAAGGTGCAACAGACGCTAGAGAGGCAGCATGGCTGTGTGGATAGACTTCTGGGGCTGGGAGTTGAGGCCTGAGTTCCATCCCTGGCTCTGCCACAGCCATCCTGTATGATCTTCAACAAGCCACTGCTCCGTGCCTCAGTTTCCCCAGCTCTATAGCGGGGGCAATGATACCTGCTTTTGTAAAGCACTTTAAGGCCTATGGATGAAAAGCCCCACATATGTGCTAAGTGGATATTTACTATGCTCCCTTTGCATCAGTTATGTGTAATAACATAAATGAAAGGGGTTTACACTCAGAATTCCACGTGTCGCAGCAAATCACAAGACTTCTTCCCCTTGAACTCCTGATTCTGCTGGAGGTGTGGGACTGTCGGGCCCACGGTTCTGGGTGTAGGCAGAGGAGTCCCCCATGTTGAGTGTTCTCTGTCGGGTTTGGCATTGGTGACGGTCATGCTGTTCAATGTGGTGTTGTGACTATTTTGCATATGAATAGAACTTTTAACGAGACATACTGTTTTTGAAGAAAAATCAATGATGTATTTGTAGCAAACCATTTTTTCTCAATAAATGCAGTTTCATCCATTGGTGTCGGGCTGAAATCTCTTGGGAGCTTGGGACAAATTGGGGAACAGTGTCAGCTCTAGGGAACAGAACCCCCCCCACTTAGTAGACCTTTAGTGGGTCTGTTTCCCCTCCCACACTCCTCATCCACGGGGGAGTAGAGAGCTGAATGAATTTTAGTGGCATATGAACTTGTCTTTTTTTTTATGGCCATTCCAGACGCTTTGAGCCTGCCCGTTGCATTGGACAAGCGTGGCTGATCCCCTCCAAGACACAGCTACAGGTGTCTAACCTGTCTCTGCTCTGAAGCACCATGAGCCTGGAGCAGAAGCAGGTATACCGAGGCAAAGCCCACCGAGATAGGGCAACAAGTGCTGAATGGAATCAGCTGTCTTTGTTTGGAAAGGGAGACGCTGGGCTGATCTTTATGACCTCGTCCACTGACTCATTAACTACTGCTGAGCACTGTGGTGCCTGTCAAGTATCTGGCAGACAAGGTTTCATCATCCTCAATCTTGTATTTCCAGTGCCCTCTGCTAGATAGGCCCCTGTATCAAGTCTCCAACAATGCACAGGCTACTGCTTATCTGGCTGACGCAGAGCAGTTAAAACCTTATCTCTGTCTCACCTCTGTCAACAGTGGAGTTAAGTGTGGATTTAAAACAAAAACCCAAAGAAGGGTGATCGTAACTACTGTCTTTCTTCAGAGCCTGCCTTTTGCTCCTCAAGTGGCCTGATTTGGCTGCACTGTTCGTAACTGTTTTGCATGGCTAGGTGAATTCCCCCGTCCCTCATGCTTGCACAAGAATTGCTGAGCTGTAGGAAAAGTCCAGTGACAAAATTCTGTACAGGGAATGCAGTTCCAGCGAGCTCGGACAGCTTCTCCTGCAACACACTGAGGGCAAAAAGTGCCCCCTACTCCTAGCAACCTGAAATCTTGCACAAAGCGACGCACTTTCTGAGCCGACTGCTCCCATCTGCTCTCAGCAATCCATTGCTGAAAGCAAAGGGGATGCTTTTTTACAGGTTAATGACACGCTCTCGAGAGCAGGAGCCTAATGCACGGCATAGGTTTATGGAGCTCTGTAACCCTCTGCCAAAGCTCTAGGACGTCTGTTACTCTGTGATTAGCGTCTCCGTGCTGTTGTGAATGGATAGGGTAACCAAGGGTGTGGCCGTGCCTTGGAAGATTGGGACAGGGTGGGAGGCTCCTGACTTTGGGAATCCTGGGTATCTCCAAGGCCCTAGAAATTGGGATGGGGATTTTTTTCCCCTCCCATAGCCGTGCCTGGGTTGAACATTGCATAGTGCTCTACCTGTGTGCTGACTTCTCCACAGTCCTGCCTGCTGGGGGGGGGGCAGGTTGGAGCGTGGGTTGGGTGACTGCTCTCCTGCTGCATTCACTGGGCTAGCAGCTAACGACTCTGGCTGCCGAAGTGCCGTGGGCCGGCACTGGATTTGAATGTCAGACTGAATAGCAGCCTTTGATTATTTCCACAGGACCAGAGGTGGGCTGCTGCCTACAGGCTATCAAAAGACTGTACCCCATAGGCAGGGCTGCATGTCTGTATTCCCTGCTGTGCTTGGCACAGCTCGCTGGCTAGTCTGGAGCTCCCTGCATGGATGCTTTGGGAGCTGCCCACGGTTCCAGGACCCCTCCTCTAGCCGCCTGTGTGACTGACATACCCCCAAGGGCTATTGGGGAGAATATGGTTCTCTTGGTCCCTTCCTTGCATTATGGGACAAGTTCCAAATACCAGGCAATGCCAGGAGATGTCTGTGACCCGCTCTGGCTACAGTCCAATCTCACCTCCCCATCGTGTGTGCATGGTCGTGTCTGCTTTTGACTTCAAAGGGTTACATGATTTCATGGCTCATTTATGCCTTTTAGAGGCTAGAGGGAGACTATTTTTGAAGTGCGTTTATATTGAAATACAAGTCTAATAAATCATACAAAATACCCCAACTATTCTGCACCCACAGACCCTCGCCTTTGCCGGGTGGTGGTCACTAAATGACACTAGGCCCCCTAGAATTGCTGGAGATCTTGCCACAGAGGGAAGCTGGGGCTAGTGGATAATCTGAACCCGGCACCCGTCCCCCTCTCCTTGCAGCTGCACTAAGGAATAGTCGCTATCCGTGAATCCGGTTCAGAAGCTAAGAGCACCTCGCAATGCCCGTCTACCAGAGCAAAGTGGTTTGTGGCCTGAATTGCATCTAGCAGTGGCCCAGTGGCCTCTCGACTGGATCTCTGGCCATGTCCAAAGGAGGGCGCTCAGCAGGCTCGTGTGGAATAATTCTCACTCTCAGGCCCAAAATCTGCTGCGGGACTGAGGACAGGAGCGGCGCTAGCGCTGACCCGCGAAGGGTCATCTGAGATGAAGCCATGAAGGTGGTGCCAAGCTAGAAAGGTGAGTTTGCCGAAGCATTGTATTGTTCTTCAAGGTGAGCTCGCCGGGCAGCTCCCTCAGAGAAGGCCAAAGTGCAGGATTTGATATTGGCCATTATTGATAGATGTTACAGCAATACAAAAATCGAAGAGCCTAGTCACAGACCTGGACTCCAGGGTGCTAGGCGCTGTAAGTACCCTAGCGCACCTTTCCAAATGCAGGCCGTGTGCGTATCCGTGCCCCCAATGCTGTCTTACGCTGTCAACAGCTAAAATGCTGCTCTGAAACGGGGAGGGGGGTTGCTATGGAGACACACAGTTGGAGAGGCTCGCTGGGTGAGAGATGGGATTGGAAGTTCAGAACTTGAGTTGTATTTCCCACTCTGCCACTGACTTCCTGTGTAACCTCAGTCAAGTCACTTAACCTCTCAGGCCTCAGTGTCTCAGGCCACGTCTACACAGCAGGGGCACAGCTGCAGCACCATAGCATAGATGCTTCCTACATCAGCGGAATCGGGTTTTCCATCAATATAGTTAATCCACCTCTCCAAGAGACCATAGCTAGGTCGATGGAGGAATTCTTCCATCAGCCTAGCCTAGCTTCAGCTACACCGGGGGTTAAGTTGACTTATTCCAGGCATGAAATTTCTCACAACCCAGAGCAACGTCGCTAGGTCCATCTAAGTTTTAAGTGTAGATCAGGCCTTAAGTCGATAAAATGAGGAGGGTAATACCTTCTCACCATCTTATAAAGTGCTTGAAGGTTTTTGGTGATGAGCACTGCTGGAGCCCGGAGTTCTCTAGCACCACTGCCTGGATGATGAGATGCCCGGGTCATTTTCCAGGCCATGTTTGTAGAGTCACTTACAAAGCTGCTAGATTTTTGCTGCCTTAGCTGCTACGCCTTGTGGGTGGGAAGCAGCAGCCCCTTTCCAAGGTTACTGCTGAGCTCCTGTTCTCCGGATCACAAACCAGATGGGGCTTGAAAAGCACCTATAAATCTTCTTAATTGTAAGCACTAGCGCGGGGAGAGGGGTGTTGATCTGTGCTTGATCCCCTTCCCGTTTCTCAGGATTTTAAAAATCCCAATTCTTGGAAACATCCTTTGTAGAACATGATACTCTGAACATTGTCCTGAGCAGGGCAGGTGCTGAGAGACTTCCACGGCGTTCTCCCCTGTAGTCTGACTGTCTCTGCTTCTCAGAGTTGGGGACCCTGCTTCCCTGGCTGGCTCAGGTGAGTGGGAGCAGCACCTGTGCCCCGATCGGGGGGGAGAACTACCCAAGCAGGATGAAATCTGCCTGCAGGGGTGGGAATGGAGAGTCCTGGGGGTGCCCGCAGTGGACTCCCTGCGCTGAGGAAGCGTTAATCTCTCAGCCCATTTAAATGCCTGCTGATGTTAAGCAGCATTAAACAGGGGCGTCAAGGTGCTTTGTACTGTCATTGTTCTTGGGCTGCCCCCTCCTTTGTCTAGGATGGGCTAATTCAGTCTGCCATGTGGGGCCTCCCCCACCCATTGTCTAGGCTGCCAGGAGCCTGGGGTTTCCCCTTCCCAGGCTGGTGAGTGCAGGATAAGCATGATCCGCTCCTTTGCGGCTGCCTCAGTGTCTCACCTGCCGAAGCAGGGAGGGGCTGCGGAGCCTCCCGGGGGGGTAGAGAATCAGCAGATGCCTTTGCAATGGCCTGGCCCAGTCTATGCTTCCAGAAATGGCTTTGCCCCTGGGTGGATGGGACATAATTTGGTTTAAATACTTCCAGGGGCCTGCTGTGATTAGCTCTGGGGCAAAGCCATGCCAGCGGGGCCATCTTTCACAATAGCCCAGCCTCTCGCCCTAGTATTGACAGGGCCTTCTTCACAGCTCTGGGGCCTGGAGACTGCTGGGGGCGGGTGTCTGTCTGAGCCGGGCACACTGTTTCCTGACACAGCTTCCAGGAGCCCCCAGCCGCGTTTTGGCCAGGATGCGGCTGTGCACCACTTGAGAGGCAGTATCTGCGGTTAACTTGTATACCGTCCTTGGCTCCTAGCAGGAGGGTTACACCAGCTCAGGTTCCCCTGCATGTGGGTCGCTGGCGTGTGCAAGGGGCTGAGTGGGAGGAGCCTAGCTTGCACCAACTCTTAGTTTGGGCTACAGTCTCCACACCAGCAGCGTTATTTAAATGCAGCGAGCTAGGCTAGAGGGCCAAGTAGGACTGACTAAGCCACTTCTCATGGTGGGATGGGGTCTTTGGGGGGCTATCTTGGCTTTAGCAATTCCAAAACTCCAGGAGGGGTTCTTTCCTGAGCATCACAGGACCTGGCTTGGCTATTCTGCGGAGAGCGAGGTTCTTGGGGTTTAAAGTACAGGACCAGAACTTGAAATCGGGGAGCTCTGTTCTGCTACGGACTTGCTGTGAGACGTCGGGCAAGCCATTTAACAGTGCTGTCTCAGTTTCCCCTAGCTATAAAAGGGAGACTATTTCCTAACCTACAGGTGGTTTGTGAGCTTGTATTCACTAGTGTTTGCAAAGGGCTTGGAGAGTCTTGATAGAAAATGCTGTTGAAGGACAATTGGCTTATTAGCCTAAACACTCCTCTGGTATTGGGGTGCCCAGTCTGGAACTAGCAGGGAGTGTCCGATAGCTGTCTGACACC